TAAATACTTAACACTTAAAAAATATCTTTGAGTTAAGAACTTCAATAATGTTTCAACCAATAAATTTTTATAATGCTAAGATAACATTTAAAAGCGTATAAAACTCCTAACGCATTGTTGATATAATCTATGTCATTCTATCGACCTTGCAATCAATGAAACTCCGATGGGAATGGTGAACGACTGTTGGTAGTCGTATATCTAACCACATTTTTGGCTAAACTCACAAAATCTGCAGTTATGGGTGCTGTTCTATTTTATCATTTCCGTGAGGCTCAGTAAGAGAATGCCAAAGTAAACCATCCGGCCACAATTTTATCCAAATCGACAATATTGGCTGTTATGGATGCTGCTGTATACTCCCATTTCCGTTGATCTCAGTAAGCGAATACCAAAAAGAAACTACTTTTCTATTCGGTTTTGGGTAACCCAGTAAGCACATAGCACATTTTGCATATACTATTAATAGGGGAAAGGAAACAAAATGTTTAGATTGCGTATGAAATGAAATAAAGAAATAAGGTTAGGTGAAATGAGGCAATAAAACTATTAATCACTTCATCCACCATCGCAAATCAACTCATAGTGATGGGTTGAAGATCTTCAGATTGTAGTCTGAAGGTTCTCATATGTAATACTTCATCTATTGTCACATCAGTAAACGGTTCACATATGAATATAAATTGAACTTTCAGAAGTTGTTGTCTGCAGAAACCTATACGTACAATTTTACCTATTGTTAGCGTCACATTTTGTCACATCAATGATCGATATGATATATAAAGATTTGGTGGGATTTAGGTAATGGTAAAATAATGAGAATTCGAGATAAACTGGAGTTGTAGAGATAGAGTTATCCAACTTAATCTCATCTATAATCTATAATGCATGAATTCTAAATAAATATTTGTTAAATTTTTGTAATTTTTAGTCTATAAATCCCCATTTGGTATATTTTATTTTATCATTACTTATTTGTGGGAATTAATTGTCAGATTTGGTAAAAAGTAGAATAAAAAATTTGGATGAGTAACGAGCAACAGAAGAGGTAATGGAGTGACTGTATCAAGACATAAAAACTTAGCCATATTAGCGATCGAAATGATTAGTCAATATCTTTTAATTTTTCAAAAGTTGTGAGCTGCAGATTCCATTATTTAGCTTTTCAGCCGTTCGATAATTTTATATGGATTTTATATTGGAATATGAAATAAAATAATGTAATAAGAGAATGTAATTAGAGAATAGCTGAAGTGGAAAAAGAACTGATAGAATCTAATCCCCATCAGCCTTAGATAACCAAATCATAAAACAATATTTGTCAATTTACAGAAGTTATAGTGTGGAGATATGCATATATGCCTTTAGTTTTTCAATCATTTGTTAGCTAATTATTGTAAATATTGTGAATATTTGGTAATGGATTGAAACAATTTAAAGAGAAAGGATTAAAATTCGAAATAGATAAGATTTAGTATTGAATTTAATGTTAATTAAGACATAATTATCTTATATTCTTAGTAAATGGATTCATGGAACAATATTTATCAAATTGCAAAAGTTGTAGCTTGCAGGTCCCCGTATTTAGTTCTTCGACCTCACGTTAGCTGTGTGTGGAAATTTGTGATAAGACATGAAATTAAGTGGAATAAGAAAATAAGAATCAGTGAGGAACCAGAGATAAGATTATGGTGTGATTAAATCTAATCTGAATTCAAATATATGTTTCGACCTTTAGTTATATGCGTTATTAGAGCTTTTTAAAAACATGTTATAATGAAGCATATATTATATATATCAAAGCAATGTAACCCTGTCACCTATAGATCCTTTGATAAAAGATTATTGTTACTTTTGTAGTAACTACAATAACAAACATTTATCATTGAAAACCCACATTAGCAACATTATTGTATTAAGCAATTTTACAACAGACGCATTTAATGGGTGAGCAGAACGTCATTTGGCCTAGTTACATTTCATTAGACACATTTCGCCTCTGAAAAGTTCAATGACCCTTTTGTTTGTTTACTTTATTCATTTAACTGTCATTTTATTTTACACATATTTGTAAATAACAGTGTTTATAATATATATGTAAGCTTGAATTTGAGGGAGGTTTGAGTGGAATACTTTATCCTTTGTAAAAGTACACATTTTCCTATTTAGTTTTAAGAGTGAACGCAATAATTGTCTCTAAATATATTTTTGAACTTATTATCTTTAAGCATTTTTATTGCAATAAAAAAAATTATTGAGAATCGGAATTGATTTGAAGATTTTATTCATCAAATTTGGACAAGCATGTGTTGAGATACAATTCTTTCAGGTGTTTCAATATAGTTCAAGGCTATATATGCCTTGATAAGGCTATATGCCTTGTTTTGATAAGGCTATATATGCTTTAGAAAATTAAAAAATAGGGAGTATGGTGCTTTTTGTAGAATATTTTTTAAATTGTCAACAAAATTTATATTATAAACTTATATATTATAAATTATTAAATTTGTTACTTCATTGAACAATCAGTTAAAATAATAGTGTTCTTTAAGTGATTTAAACCGAATCGTAGTGCTCAGTGCCATATCAATATAGAATTAGAAAAAAATTGGAATAAATCTCTCAATATTCTAGTAATTTTTTTCCCCGAATATATTACTATATTATTAGAAGAGACAGAGATCTGTGACATATGTATATTGCGGTTTACTATGCTCTGAAATATACCATAATCTATGACATTATTTTATTGTTTAATTATCAATGAAAAGTAAATAAATGTGAGTAAATGAAGTCTAAATCTAACACAATCCCATTTGAAATTTAACCTGACAGCTTTAGTAATTACTTTCTCGTAATTTCTATTTTCTTGAAATATTATTATATTATCAATTCTAAGATTTGGTACTGTCATCTGATGTTTACCGTAATCTATGACATTGCTTTATTAATTAACAATTAATAAAAAGTTAACAAAAATGTGTAAATAAATAAAGTCGGAAAAAATTATTATTAAAAGAAAAAAGCTATTATAGATTTCAGGTTCTTTTCAGAAACTTTTTGATATTAAAAGATTAATACAATTTTATGAGACACTATTATAGGTTTTAGGTTCTAGGCTGAAACTTTTTGATATTGAAAGGTCAACACAATCTTTGAACTGTTATAGGCGTCAAATATGAACAGATCTATACCATGAGACATATATCTATACATTTGAGACAAACTATCGCTATCGCTCATATATTGGATTTCGAGTATTAGTTATATTGTAGTAAAAAATTAGAAGATTTAAATAATTTTAGAATCAATCTCTACATTATACATTGAAACAATATTTAGTGATGTATTGTTAATATGAATACATTGAGATAAGATTAAGATATCACAGATCTTAATAGATACACACCTCAATTATGTAAACCAATTGGTAAAAAAGTTTATATCTTTTTTCATTAGAAGACCTTGTGTTTCTAACAGTTTAGACATATGTATACTCTTTTCTCAATTAATACCGGCAGAATAAAAAAGGAAAAATTGTATAACATGATATAGGTCGATCTGAAGTTAAAGAGTCAGAAAAAAGTAAAAAACATTCTGCAAAGTTTATATTATAATTATCAAATTATTTAAACAAATATTTTTTAAGTTCGTGGTGCTTACATTATCAAGAGGACACTAGGAAAATGATTTAAACTAGCATTCTAAATTAATTAGAAAAAAATTAAGAATTTATTCGCTTAATTATTAGTTTCTTGCTTCATTAATATTGATAGCTGATATGCACATTCACACAATTTGTTTATTACGATATCTTATTGACATTTTTAATTAATTAATCTTTTTACTAAATTAAATATAAACTTTATTTAAATGATATTATATAGAATATATATTATTATTTAAGTTAATGAACATTTTAATGATCACACAAAATTGTATCAAAACACATATGGGACATCTACGGGATATTGTTCATTAACTTATATAGTATTATATATATATAGAATTATATATATAATATCAAGTATTATATATATTGGGTTACAGTTGAATGCTTAACCCATTGAACTGCTTAATTTTGACAGAGTGTACTGCACGATTTGCATTATCTCTAGGTCTTCAGTTAAAAAGAAATTTTATTAAAATCTGTATTTATCCCTATTTCTGTATAAATTAAACTCAAAAATGTCTTCCTCGTAGTAGACTTACTATTCAGTTAGAATAGCGCTTTTTGAAACTGAATATCTAAAGCTGTCAAATGGATTCTCTAACTTTGTTCAAGACTTTTCAATTCTTAAGTCTGACAGTATATTTATTGTATTATTTCACCTTAAATATACGTTTTTATATTTATTATAAATATAATACCAGATAATACATATATGAGTACACTTTTATTGATCACTTAACACATTCCTAAGAGAACTCTGTAAGTTGTCTTCTTTCCATAACTCACGCGTTCTAGTATGACGACGTCTAGCAAATTATAGTTTGTGCTTAATATTAATAATTATATTTTACATAAATAAGTGAATGTGAATAACAGATATTGTTTGCGTAAAATAAAACAACATTATTCCGAGATGAGTCACATAAGATTTACTAAAAAAATAAATGGAAAATAAAGTTCATTTAGCGCGTTATCGAGTCGAGTATCGAAAAAAGCAAACAACTCCACCTTAAGAAAAACAAATTCTTGGAGATTAAATTATTTTCTACACAAGACAATTAAAATGTTTTTAATAAAAAAATATGTTATATACAAACAATAAGTAATTATTTGCATAAATTGATTAATGCATTTGTTTTATAGAAAAACTTCTTAAGTAAAATGTTTGGTAGACGCATTTTAATTTTTAGGGCAGTGCCCTTGCTTTGTGTGGATCTGGAGTTGGATATTTGTTGTTATAAACAATAAATGAAGCTGCGCGTATGTCTTTTTAATTTATGCATATTTCTTAGCGGCAGACACAATGGAATTTTTATTCTTGACTTACCTTTAAAATTTGGCTTTTGCGAAAACTGAGTTCGTCATCGGCGGTTGCTGAGAAATCGTGTTTGGCAATTGCTTCCATTGTCGTCTTGTATTTGAATTCCTATTGCTGTGTTGTTGTTCTTGTTCTTGTTGTACCTGAATTTTTTGTTTATTTCTATATTGTGTTCCCGAATTCACAAATATATTGTATCAGACTTCGTTGGTTTATATATATGTATATATATAGATATATCTATTATGTTTCATAAAAAAAAAATTGGTGTTTGATTCTTTTCGTTTAGACTTAATTAATTGTTTCCCCCTTTTTTCGACTTAATAAAGTAATAAAGAACACACTATTTTCAATATAACACTAAAAGCAATTATTTATTTTTAATATTGCTCAAATAAATATCAAATTTTTTATTAATATTTCACATGCTATATATGATTTCCACTTTTTATGTATTTTTGCTTTTTTTCTTAATTCATTTCGCTGGGTTCTATTTAAGGAAATACGAAAATACTGACGAAAACCGAGATATAAAATGAAATAATCAGCATCGCATATGACTACACACGCACATAGTTGAACAACACTGCCAGCATAGAATTTTATTAAAGAAATTATTTTAACTATTTGAGAAATTTATGCAGTGTTGATATAATGATTTATGTATAATTAAATTAATAAAAGTGATTATGAAATTAAAAATGGTTAGTAATTAGTTGAAGTAAATTAACTTAAGTTATGCGCAAAGTTCTATAATAATTAATATATAAAATAGTACAGATAGTACAGTACGCAAAAAAATTTCAATTCAAGTGCTATAATTTCAAACTGGCAATGAAATGTTTCCTTTTTATTTACTTGTCTCTCCTATACACGACATTCGTTGAATGTTGTTGTTGTTCGGCATATTTGCATTACCTTTTAAGTCGGTATTATTGTTGTTGGTTTACAATGCCGGACGTATGAATTTTCTTACTGTATTTTGCTCTTTATTTTTTGTGAAAAGTTTTTTTAATAATTGAAAAGAAAATATTTTTAATAATCCCATTTTATTATTAGGAGTGCATTTATTTTTTTTTATAAATAACAAAAACTATTAGGTATTAATTATAATTTAATAAATGTTTTAATATATTAGTATTAATTAAAATAATTAATTGTTAATATGACATATTTATTAAAATGTTTTTGTAATTTTTACCGTTCTTAAGTCGTTTATTTAACACACAAAAATTATAAAAAAATTGCATTTATTATGTTAATATTTTTTATTATATTTTTAAAAATAATTAATAATACAGATATTACGTCTACTTCGTCAAATTTAGAATCAAATAATAATTTTTTGCCTATGTGTACTGGAGGTGGTCTATGAAGTAGACCGAAATATTTGATTTATAAATATTTTTTAAAAATAGAAATAAATAAACGACCGGAACAAAAATGAAAATATTAATTAAAATATAATTAATTAACAATATAGTTTGAATTGAGAGGTTTATTTAATTTTTTGTGTTCAATTACAAATTTAAGTCTATATAATAATAAAAAATAATAAATTTATTTTCAAAAAGAAATTGCCTATAAAAATGAGTAGAAATGATTCTGTTACACTGACTTTCAATCGGAAACTAATCGGAAAATAAAATTTAATATAAATAATACATAAATTTTAATTCAAAAGAATTTTATTATTACTTTAAATGCATATAAACTAAATAATTAAATTACATTAAATTTATTCGAAATGAGAGTAAAAATATTTCATTGCTTCAAAAAATAAAAAAAACTTAAGTAAGTAATGACAAGAAAATAGACAAGAAAACATTTAATAATTATTTGAAATTTATTTAAAAGAAAATAAACACATAAATTAAAAACATAATTTAGTTCTGAAATTAATTTTTTAATTTGTTAATTCTCAATAAGTTATAAATTTTAAGAAATGTTGTTGCGTGAAAATAATTAAAAATATTAGTTCAATTTTTTACCGCTTGATTTTAATGGCGCTGTTGCCAGTATGTTGATTAAAAACAGTTAAGAGTTGAAACTTATTAGAAATTGTGTTATTTATTATTTTAAACGGAAATTTTTAAATAATTAAATTTATATTAATGTACATTAATTTTTATAGAATATTTTTTTATTATAAAGCAAAGTTTTGTAATTTAATTTGTGATAAGTAAAAAAAGTCAAACTCAACGCATAATTGAGCAATAGTCGTTGGCTACAATAAACAGAAAAGTAAAAAAAATTTGTTAAGAGAATATATTTCAGCAAAATTTCGCATTATTAAAAGTCATTGGATACTAATTGGCTAATATAATTAGACCATATTGAGCGCCGTTCAGCATGCGTGCCTATGCCCAAAAACTTGTCTATAGAGATACGAGGGGTGCCAGTTCGGTTATAGTCCACAAAACTCATTTTTTTTGTATTCCACAGTGCTCTCCAACTAAAATCAATGTATGTAATTATCTTAGTATCTTGGTATCTAATTCTTTTAGTATATAAGTAGTGAGATCTTCACACATTCAATTTTTTTTATATGTATTAATTTATTATTTTTTTTTCAAAGTAGAATAATATTTTATTGAATTTTATATTTTGTTACAAATGTTATAATAATTAACACTATATAGTTTTCTCTGGAACTGAAGACGGTAAGGGCATTTTGTTATTTATATTACTAAAGTAGAACTGTATTATTATGACCAAATATGTTGTTACAGCACCAATAATCTATGGGCAATAAAAAATGTGAGATAGATTAACAAATGGAGTTTTAGGGTCTTACCGATGTTATAAGTTTGTAGTTCATATCGAAAAAACCGGCAGCTGTAAAGTTATTTTTGCGTTGCATCACTTCAATTGAAAATATTTGTATTATTTGATAAATCAAGCTCACTGGTTCCTCATCGCTTCGTGGTTTCAATTTATGTAGTAGAAGACCTGTAGTTGACATCTGAAAGTATAGAATAATATAAGTTTTCATGTACATATAATAAAAGTATCTGGTTTTTGTAATATTCTAGAAAATTCTGCAATGGAACAGATTGACTGTTAATATAGAATATAGAACGATAGAATATAAATAAGTTGAAATAAAGAGAATAATAAAGCAATATCAGTGTTAATATTAACTTCATTACCGAATAAATTAATAAAAAATAAAGTCAGTCAGTAGAAATTATAGTTTAATAGTTGATAACTTTCATAGGACAACTTGGTTTATGTAGTACTACTTTGCATAACAGAAGATTGCAGAAGAATTGAGAGTAGGAAAGAGAATCATAGAGAGGTTTTCAAAGCAGAGAAGTATAATAGCATACTTGAAGAGATAAAGTCAAAAAGAGAGAAGAGAAACGAAGAAGAAATACAGAGCAGGCGAAAAGAAGTGGAAGGTCATGAGAGCCTAAGAAGAAAAAGAGATCAATTTCATGCTACAGAAAAATCTCTGTCAAGAAAATGGTTTGATTTTACTGAAAAACTGATGAATCACAAAAAACAAAAAAAAATTGCTGTCAAATGATGAAAAACAGATAATGGAAGAATAGGATTTAAACTGGAATATGTGGATATATTATATAAAGATAATAATAAATAGATTCAAAAGAAAATGGAGAGGACTGATAAAAAATTAATTAGAAAGATAAAAACGGGAGTAAATATTACGAGAGAGAGCGGGAGAGAGAGAGAGAGAGAGAGAGAGAGAGAGAGAGAGAGGGGTAGAACGATAAAGGATAAAAGAAATGATAGAGAGCATTATAAGATAAAAGGAAGAAAGTCTTAGATTTAGATATGGATAGAGCTGAATTAGTATAAAAATAGTAAAAAGAATTATAGACCAAGTTAAACTATAAAAGAAACTAAGCGTCAAAGATAAAAGAAGAGAGAGAGACGAAATAAAAAAAGACTGGGTCTTAAGATATAGATAGGCTATTAGAGCAAAAGACGTAGAAACTATCAAAAAATGTAAGAAAAGTAATTAAAATGAAAATACAAACAAAGGAAAGGTAAGCAAGTCAATGATGTTATGATGTGGAGCAAGCGATAAGTACATCTGAATGAAGATAGGATTGGAAATAAGGATATTGGGAAAGAAATAGACACAGTAATGTAGATGTGATTAAGAAAGTGTAAAAAAAGATACGTATAAAAATAACACAACATGAATAGAGTACAGCGGAAAAAAATGCAAGGAAAAGGAAAGGAAAAAAAAATATGATATAAAACACCGACTTACCGAATCCGCTGTGACGCAACAGGCCCTAACGTTCAGTCCAATTGTTGCAATTTGTAGTAGAATCCAAGCTACTATAAAAAATATCTGATAGGTAGGCATGTCCAACGAATGCACTATTAGGGCAAACAAATTATAGCTTTGCATTGTGATAACCGCAAACGAAACTGTAGTCATCAGCAACAAATGCCAGGAAAACATTTTCATCACCAGATCCACAGCATCTGCCGTGGTTATGTAAATTTGGAGTAAACTCTGTAAAATCTCAGAATGCAAATGCTCAACTCTTTCTTCACACGGAGATTTCGTGACTGCTGTCAGTGGAATTTCCGAAACTGAATGCAATGGTATTGCTTTTTTCGGATGAACACCTTTCACGTATATTTTTAATTTATTATTGATTGAATCAAATTTAGTTCTTAAAATTAATAATAAATTCAAAAACTGAAATTCCTTTAAGGACAGCAACAATATCGGCAGGAAGCATATAAACCAAAAACAAGAAGTAATAAAACCAAATGTCTTCGGCATAGGATGTATAATGACGCAATGACCCATGGATAAAGTAATTGGCACTAATAGAGCAGCGGCAAAAGTACGGAATAGACGACTCCGTAAATCGGTGTAATCGATTTTAATGCCGATAGTTGTTGTCAGCAAATGGTCGATTTTGTATATTAAATTGCATAGCTTCATCGTTTTTTTTAGGTTATACCAGGCGGTACAAATGGCAACAATGCCGAGCAGGAATAGTGTGACCACCTGAGCCCAACTACACACATACGATATGATGCTATTGCCATATAATTCCGAAAAATTCTGTAACTTATGTAAACGATAGACACCAATGACAAATCCAGCTGTAAAATATAGTTATTCTTTATCATCGGAAAAGTATGTAATGTAATGTTGAAATATTTTACCAAAATATAGCACCGCACAAAAGAATAGGCTTACACAAGCCCACAGATCCAACTCGATTTTTGTGAATTTCTTATGCAAAAGAAATCTTTTTTCGATTTTTATGGGCACATAGCCCAAAAGTTTAAAAAATCGTAAGAAAGGATATAAAATATATGAAAAATTACTGCTTGGAAAATTTGAAAAAAAATATGATTTCAACATCGTCCTTATTAGATATCTCACTTTTGAAGGCACACCTTTATAGTTATAGACCGATAATGACCTTTAGATGTCACATTCAATATGCTAACTAGCAACAAACTGTCCTAATCACTTAATTTTTGATTAAATTCAAGGTGCAAAAACGAATTGATTAAATTCAAATTAGCACTATTTAAGGGACATGCGCTATTTGC